CTCTGAGTAGGACTAACTTTGAATAAAGCCCATTTGTTGTTGATGTTTAAGGCAGCTGGGAGCTGAGAACTCCTGACTCTACCACTGTTTTCTTCAGTTATATTCTAAGATAAGGCATCAGAACTCAAAAGTGACTGGAAAGCCTATACTCTGATCCTCGGAAGAGACTCCTGGGTTAAGGCCCGTCAGGCCCAGCACTCTGTACTCACAGGAGCCAACCAGATGCCTATGAAAGCCTGCAAGCATTTTACTGCACAGATGAGCAAACAAACACACAAAAAGGTTATAATTGCTATGACTGGATTTACTGGGGGGGGAGGCAAACAAACCCAAAACCATTTCAAATGGTTGCCAATTGAGCATTTGAACAGAATTTTGGTACTGTTCTGTTGCTGAGGGCAGTGGCTCAGGTAAACTGTTTATGTGTGGCAGCCAAGTAACTTTCCTCCAATTGGGAAAAACAGGAGCCAGGGAGGTGACAATTCCAGTGAAGAAAGTGTCGGGCAGAGGGTTAAAGGTCACTACCACTGGATCTGTTGCTTTGTTTTCCTGAGAATCCATGTGATCTACTTGAAAATGTACAAAGCAGGAGTGCATACTCAGGATCACTAACCAGGGTAGGGCATAACTATTTTACAAGAGGATCCTTGCTTCCTGGATCAGTTGCAGGTCCACCTCATTCCACATGCTTTGCAAGAATCCAGGCAAGCAGAGGGCACTAGGTGGTCCACCAGAATTTTGTTCTCACAGCCCTGATGTCGAGAACCTGTGACTCTTTAGATATTGCTAGATGGCAGGTCCCCTCATCACTGACCATTGACCATGCTGGCTGGGGATGAAGAGGCTTGGAATTAACATCTGGAGGTACACAGGTCCCCCCTCCTTGTACATTGAAAAATTCATTCGTAAAGAAATCAGTGGCTAGTAGTCATAATGGCTGTATGCAACTTCTAGGTTCAGTGGCAAGATATCATTTGGTATCAGATCCTAGAGAACAACAACAGTAGAGAGCTACTGCCTTCACAACCTGTTTCTGGGCTTCCTGGTAGCATCTTGGTGGCCACTGCAGGAAACAGGATTCTGAAATAGCTGGACCTTTGATATGAGCCACAAGTATCTTATTATATTCTTATCATTTGGTGGATCCTGATTTAGCTACAGCCCACTCTTCTTCATCACCATTTAATGCTAGGGGTCCAGGCATGGTTTTATTAGCATCTGTACAGGGTGAACTGTGCCCTTTGTAGCTTCCTCCTAAGGAAAAGGGCACTTCTCAGAATGGTCCAGTTCTCCAACAAAGCACATATTTAAGCTCATGGACCTTTGCCAGCACATACTTGGTTATTTCTCAAATATCTGCCTCTTTCAGAGTATTTTGTACTGCCTGAGAGAAAGAGACCATTAAGCTGAATTCTAATCGCTGCATATCACCCTCCCTATGCTTTGCTCATAATAAGCTTTTGTAAATAAGACCCAAAGAGATGAAAGGAAGAACTCCTGATGATCAGCTCCCAATTTTGCCTCATTAAGTTCCTATAAGGGGAAGGGGGACCCTAAGTAGATTTTCATTGCTTTGCTAACAATGGTGAGCGATCATCCCAAATTCATTAAGGAGGATGCTCTGTTGAGAGAACAATTTACAGGCACATTTGGTGAGTGGAGCTATTAAGGGAAGTTTAAGCTGTTCTTCAGCTGCTACCTAAATCATAGGGAATGACAGGAAAGAAGGCAAATCCATGAAACATTTAGATGTAAACACTGAAAACAGTTCCACAAAATTCACAATAATTAGATGGGAAGAAAAAGGAGAGAGAGAGAAATCTCTAGCCTTTTCTTTCTCCTGGTCCAGAGTAATCAGAGAGACAGGCCTGATAGAGGCATGTCTCTTTTCTCAGTGGGCATTAGCCCAGGGTAGCCAATGTGGTGGTTTTCAAATGTCATGGATTACATCTCTCACCATCTCTGCCCATTGGCAATCTGCAGCTGATGGAGTCCCAGGATATCTAGAGGGCAACATGTTGGTTAGTCCTGCATGGGGTGTTTTAAAATAGACTTCTTTCTTGTAGGCCTCTTGCATGTGTGTGTGATTGTTTAGACATTACAGTATAGGCTGCTCAAAAGCCCACAAGGTGGTTACCACGTAAAATTCCCATCAACACCAACAATTAAAATTGCATCAAATGGAGGGGGGGAAATACCAGCAGTAGCAGTGGAGGGGAGGGAGAAGTAGATCAGAAAAAAGATTATTAAGAATACCAAGGCAACAGCAATCACCTTAGGCTCAAAGGCCAGTCTTCTTATCCTAATAAAAGACCTTCAGTGGTTGTTGTACTTTACCTGCATTAGAAGGAGAGAGCAGACAGGTTTACTGTGTGGTCACTTCTGCATTGCCAGGAAAAACAAAAGAGGACAGTGTTTTGCATATGCTAATTTACATGTCTAGATGCAAGTTTAGAAGTATTTTTGAGGAGAACTCTTTCCCAGCCTGCATCTGTATTGAAATTGCGTGTTTTTAACACATATTTTTATTTTTCTATCACTTGTTGGGCTTCTCCACTTGTGAGGAGGAGCTGTTTATAACTAACTAACTAACTAACTAACTAACTAACGAAATGCTATCATATAAATGGAAACATAATCTATCTCAGCATAGTGGGGGCCACAGTGGTGCCTGCTCAGGTTGGGCAATTTCAAGACTCCTGCTGTTCTTCCATCTTATGGTTCTTTATATTTAAAGCAGACTTTAAATATAAAGCAGACTTGGGTCAGAGAGACCTTCAGACAGAAAGCTCCTTCAAACAGATGGTTGTCCTCTAACATCCCTTCAAATAGAGGACTATCCCATGAAAAGTAGGACATGGCCACCCCATAGCCACCATATTTCCATAGGCCGGTCAATGGAATGGAAAAGGCCCTGTCCCAGGTGCATAGGTGCCATCTCGCACCGAAGATTGGGGGTCCCAGCAACAAAGGGCTTCAGCTTTGCCCATTGACTTTGGGAGCCCCAGCCCCCACAAATATATTATGGTGGGTGCTGAGGCATCAAATGGAGGGGGGAAATACCAGAGTTGGCCCCAGTGCCTGGGTGATAGACACCCACACCTCTGATGATGGCAGGACCCAGAACAAAGCCTCATTCAGTGACCTCAGCAGGCAACCAGATCCATGTGTTTTCTATATACCCTGTGCAAAATCTCTATAAGGACAACATGGTTTCCTCCAGATGTTGTTGTCCCCTGGCTCTCATCATCAGCCCCAGGCAGCCTGGCCAATGATCAGGGAGCTGTAGTCCAAAAGCCTCTGTATGGCACCATGTTGGCTACCCCTCACATAATAAAGATGATAACCAGCACTTTCAATTATTGTGGTTGGAAACAAATAAAGAGTCAAACTGGAAGCTCAGGCACAGGAAATTTGCACAGCAGAGAATTAGCCTTTCTGGTCTCCAAAAGTCAAAAGGCTGCAGGCAGGAATCAAATGGATTAACCACACACACACACACACACACACACACATACACCCACCCACCCATGTTTCAGCTAGACTGTCGTGGGAAAGAAGCACTGGGGACGGGAGGAACCATCTACCCTGAGCTCTTAGGGACCTCTGAAAATTTTAATCACCTGGTTTCAGTTGGAATAGGATAGTATGGTAAGCAGAATAACCTGACCTTTTAGTGCAAATAAATAACAATAATTGCAGAATTGCCATCTGCACACAGTGAAACATCTTCAGCTTGGGATACTCTCTCCAACACTTCTCATACCAGTCATTCGTATTCACTGACTCACTTCCTGCTATGACCCAGTAGAACCAACTTCAGGGATTTAACATTAGGAAGTGTCTCATTTGCCAGTCAGCTGTGATGTGACTTGTTCAAGCAATTTCATAGTACGCAGTATCAGCCACTGCCTGGCTTGTCTCTCAATTTCCATCTGAGATGAGGCAATGGTTTGTGATGAATCAGTGCTTGATCATAGCTATTTTTCACATTCAGGATGCTGAGTGATAACTGGTATCATGTAAATAATGTTCTGTATGAATCCATCCTAATACAACCATGGATACAGGATGGAACTATATAACACAGTGCTTATTGATGCAGATTAGTTTGTTAAGTCAAATTATTATCAGCCATTGGTACTGTAGTTAAACTGAACACAAATCAAAATTCCCATACTTAAAAGGGGGAAACTAGACCTCTGTGAGTATTTCAGAGTGTGAAATACTGCTGTCTAAAACTCGTTTTATTTGTTATTATTTGCAGTGGTTCACATCTGTTGTCTTTTTTCTGCTCTGAGTTATCCCAGCCAACTGGGGATCACAGAGAAAATATAATGACATCGCTGCATCACCTAGCAAATGAGCTTTTGCTATGTGATCATCTCAATGAGGGCAAAGGAAGGTATTGCGCTCCCTCCTGTTGCAGTTAGTGTGAAGAAGGTAAGGAAGAGAAGGAGTGTGTTTGCAGCTCCATTGCAAACATTTTAATCTCCTTTTCTGCCTCACCTATGAACATTCATTGAAAAGTGGCTTATCAAAGGGTGTGAAAATATTTACAGAAATCATCTCTTTCCACTCAGGCCTCGTATGGATTGGCTTTTGATTTTAGATAACTGGGATCCAAACAGGAGATTTAGACACTTTTTTGCACTAACCTCATGGAGTTTTCCGAGGTCTTTTCTCTTTGAACTTTTGACCTCTGTTCCATATCACAGGCTGCTTTTGAAATCCCCTTCAAAAAAGCAAAAGCAATTTGACATGCAATGTAGCATGGTGAAGCTGAGTGGTGTTCAAGGGGGGGAAACGGGGTCAGCCATCTCGTAAGGCAGACTGAGGGGGCAGCCACAGGTTACAGATATTGAGGGAGGAAGTTGGAGGAAGGAGGTTGGAGTGTGTGTGGCACATAGCCTGCCGTGCCCCATTTGAGTCCTTACACTTGACCACTGCCCTCAAGAACAGAGGAGGATACTGTCCCATTGTCAGCACTGAAATAAGAAGGATGTAGTTCAGTCATACAGACTCTGCTTTGAATGCAGAAGGTGCTGGGTTCAATCCCTAGCATCTCCAGGTAGGTCTTGGAACGTACCCTGCCTGAAACCCTGAAGAGTCAGTGCCAATCAATTTGGGGCATCTTGTCCTTCACTTCAGGCAGCAATACATCTCAGACCATCCCTGAGGAAGTAAACAAGTCTAAATCTCCCTTGGGCACACGGAAACAATTCTATGATTTCTTAGATGGTTTGAGTAGGTGGTTTTCTTAACAATTTCACATGATATTTACAGTATTGTTACCGAGTGGGTCTGGTGCCTTTTTACAAAGTTTAAAGAATTAAGCAAATGAACTCTAACTATGACTGTAAACAGATTTTTAAACTGCTGGCCCTGTGACTTGGAGCAGGTTTTGTTTTTAATACAATTATGCATACATAGAACTACTTGACAATAAGTACAATAGCACCATCTATGGCTTCTGAAGAAAAATGCACCAACAAAATAGATTTCCCCTCCCTGCCCACCCCTAATCTCACCCTACGTGGACCAATGAAGAAGAGAATGGCCTGTCTTACCCACTCATGTATACTTGTAATAGATTTATTCCCCTGGATTCAGGGGGCATTACTGCAAATATACAAAGAGCAGATAGAAAACTGTGCTGCACCAAAATAAGACCATTGGTCCATCTAGCTCAAGACTTGGAATTCGTTCCTCCAAGAAGTAGTGGACACCAATTTGGATGGCTTTAAAAGATGATTGGACAAATTCATGGAAAATAAGGAGCTCAATGGCTGTTAGCCACAATGGCTATGTTCTACCTGCACTATCAGAGTAAATATGCCTCTGAATGTCTGTTGTTGGGAATCACAAGTGGGCAGAGTGCTGCTATGCTTTTGGGCTTCTCATAGATTGTCTGTATGATTATGCACTGTGAGGGCAGGATGCTGTACTAGATGGGCTATTGGCCTGATCAGGCAAGTTCTTCTTACTCTCTTGTCTACATCAGGAATGGATTTCCAGTCTGCTTTATTCAGCCACTTCTGATAACAAACATATGGATGTTAGTCACTTAGGGAAGGAATCTTGTCCCTGACATTGAACTGATACTCAAAAGCTATCCTGGGGCCAATTAACCAACTAATCGCTGAACCTGAATGAAGACTCCCAACAGCAGTAGCACCCATACTTTCCAACATGCCACAGAGGAAAAACAGGCTGTGCGTCTTTGGGGGCCATGCTCCCGCGTGAGTTATATGACTCACACAAGAGCACAGCTCCCAAAAATGTATGTCTTTTGGGGCTGCATTCTCATAGCAGCCAGGTGAGTTGTTTGAGAGCACAGCTCCCCCCCCCCAAAAAACAGTGTCTTTTGGGGGCCACACTCTCACAGGAGCCAAAACATGCCATCCCAAGTTCCAGTCAGAAGCCGGGATGGCTTCTGTAATCCCGGGATTTCCCACTCAGTGCTTTTTTTCTGGGGGGATGCGGGGGTATGTATGTCCCTAAACATTTTGTGAATCTAATGGGAGATGATTCAGGTAGGTAGCCGTGTTGGTCTGACGCAGTTGAAATAAATAAAAAAAATTAAAAATTGTCCAGTAGCACCTTAGAGACCAACTAAGTGTGTTCAGGGTATAAGCTTTTGTGCGCATGGTATCTGAAGAAGTTTGCATGCACATGAAAGCTTATACCCAGAACAAACTTAGTTGGTCTCTAAGGTGCTACTGCACATTTTTTTAATTTTTAAAATTTATTTCTAATGGGAGAAGAAACTATAAAATTTAGTTTCTTCTCTAGCATAGTGAATCGTCAGTTCCGTTGCTACCCCCCGATGGCTGCCTCATTTCCTGTCACAGTGTTTCCTGAGTTTCAGATGGAATGAGAGTACCCCTAAACATTTTTTAGGAAGGGGAATAAAAGCACTGGTCCCACTCAAATACATTCTACATGGAGCTGCCTTAGAAAAGTATTCAGAAACTTCAGCTGGCTCAAAGAGCTCCAGCCAGATTCCTCGTTATAGGGAGCATACAACTCCTTTATTAGAAAAAGCTGTATTGGGTGCTGGTCTGTTTACAGGCACAATTCAAATAAATAATTTGTAGTAGTCCTAACAATAAGAATGCCCCCACCAGCAGCTATTTTGTGACTACCACCCATGGCACTGTCTCAGAATTCCAAATGTGCCCACTGGCTCAAAATATTTAGCAATTTCTAAGCAATATGGTCAATAAAAGCTGAAATGCACCACACTGAAAATATTCAAGACAAAACCATATTATTTAATGAAGTTGTTTTCAACATGGAGCAATACAGTGAGATATTGAGTTACCTTCAAACTGTGTGTGAGAGAGAGAGATCAGTAATATCAACTAACTCTTCTGTAGCATCCTCAACAGCACCTAACAAAATGCAGCAAAAATACAGCAGTGTCAAATGAGTCCTCTTTCGCTCCATCTCCAGAAGGAAAACCATCAAACACATCTTCATAAAACAGATGCTCATTAACAACAGTGAAAAGAGCTACATACAGGCAGATGTTGTCCAAAAAAAGACTTGATGAGTCCTCCCAGCATTGAATATGAACAGTAACTCTCTTTATCCCAGAAACTGCAAATTTGCAGCTAGGAAAAATAAGCAAGCATGGTGAAGACTGTCTGTCTACATGATGCCCCACTTCTAAGCAAAGATAAGCAGATTTTCTTTTCATTTATTGTTTCGTGTCTGCACTGCATTCTACTTCCAGAGCTATACCACAGTGGTAAGGTACCGGTATATGATTTGCATGCAGAAGGTCCCAGGTTTTAATCCCTTGCAGATCTAGGGCTGGGAAAGACTCCTATTTGAAAACCTAGATAACTGTTGACAGTCAGTATTTAATACTGTGCTAACAGACATGTTTGACTTGGTACAATGCAACTTCCTATATGCCTAATTGTCATATGATTAAGAGAATTTCTCAAGTTGATTCCAGAAATGTAGTGCACACTGTTTGCTGCAGTTTTCATCACCCCCAATTCATCTGCATTTTCTCCCTCTATGTTACTGATGCTTCTTTCATTTGTGGCAATGCTTTATCAATTTTGATGCAATACGTACAACTGCATCAAGAGGTTTTGTGCGTCAGAGAGAGAAGGGATACTCTTGGGCACCAATAAAACCCCACAGAAAGTTATTTTTGATGCAACTGATCATGCAATCGCATCAGTGATGCTTTTTAAAAAAAGTGCTTGATCCATTTCTAGAGGAGAAGGGGAGGGGTAGTTTTCGTAGCAAGAAAAACTACAGGAGTCTTGTGGCACCTTGAAAACTAACATTTGTTACAGCATGAGACTTGAGTACTTGTTATCAGATTAATGGAATGTTATCTTAAGTTAGCAGATATTTAGATGCATATGGTTGGATGGAGGGACTGTTAGCAGGGAGGTCAGCGGGAAATGAAATGGAAGAAATACAGACTGCAGTAATTCCATTAACACTTAAATGTAAAAATAATTACAGTGACCACTCACAAAATAGTGTTGATAACACAAATGGTGCAGCACTGGTAAGCTATTTCACACCTGTAATGAGATCTAAAAATAATATTTTTTTTTAAAAAAATGTCTCGTTTCATCCCACAAATGATAAAACTGAACTTCCTGAGGAGCAAAAGAATGGAAGGGAAAATAAAACCCCAAGGTGGCTGTCACCGATGGAAGCGAAAGCCTTGAAAAAGCTCAATATGGAGGTCAAATGGCCAAAATATTGGAAAATTTTAAAACAAGATGGAGATAGATTGAAACTGCAGAGTTTTGAAAAACTAAAAAATAAAGTGCGAGACTGGCTTCATTATTATCAGATAATGGAGGCATACAATTTGGATAAGAAAATTGGCTTCCAGGTGGAAAAATCAAAACTAGAAACAGAAATGTTAGAACCCAAAACTAAGAATTTGTCAAGAATGTATAACTTGTTGCTGAAATGGAATACTCAGGATGAAACGGTGAAATCTGCTATGATTAAATGGGCACAAGATGTTGGACATAACATCATGTTTGCTGACTGGGAACAGTTATGGACCACAGGTATGAAGTTTACGGCATGTAATGCCCTAAGAGAGAATATTATGAAAATGATATACAGGTGGTACATAACCCCAGTCAAGCTTGCAAAAATCTACCATCTGCCCGATAATAAATGTTGGAAATGTAAAGAAACTGAAGGTACATTCTTTCACCTTTGGTGGACGTGCCCAAGGATTAAGGTTTTCTGGGAGATGATTTATAATGAATTAAAACAGGTATTTAAATATACCTTCTTGAAGAAACCAGAGGCCTTTCTCCCGGGCATAGTCGACCAATCGGTGTTAAAGAAGGACAGAACTTTCTTTATGTATGCTACAACAGCAGCAAGAATACTTATTGCAAAGCACTGGAAGACACAAGATCTACCCACACTGGAGGAATGGCAGATGAAAATGATGGACTACATGGAACTGGTGGAAATGACTGGCAGAATCCGAGACCAGGGAGAAGAGTCGGTGGAAGAAGATTGGAAGAAATTTAAAGACTACTTACAGAAATATTGTAAAATTAATGAATGTTAGAATGATGTCGGATTGAAGTTAAGTGGTTTCTAGCTGTAATGGTATAAAAGAATATGGAAAAATTGGTTTTTAATACGTAAAAATTTAATGTTATAATATATCAAGATTAAAGATCAGGATTAAAAAGGAGGGAAAGGAATTGCTGGACTAACAAACTGAATTGGAATACAAAAGAGGGAGGTATGAGGAGGTCCGGGAAACAAGTAAACGTAAAAGAAGTGATGAAAAGACGGAATTGTTTTTAATTGTTTTTTTCTTTTTCCTTTTTGTATTTTGTATTGTGTATTTTTCTTTTTATTGTTAATTTTTTTTATTAATGTGATCCTTTTCTTGTGAAATTTTAATAAATATCATTTTTTTTAAAAAAAAAAAAAGAATGGAAGGGAATGACAGCTGCAGCAAATGCCCAGTGCTCACTCTGTACAAAATTCAGAAATTAAAAACAGGACAATGAAGGTTCCTGATGCATGAATTCCATTTCAAAAACAAGACCAGGTAATCTGGAACTCCAAAACCTAGGAAGAAATGGCAGGTGGACAGGGTTTCAGAAGCATCCCTATAGTCTAGGGTAAATGCCTCATGTACTATGTTGCTGCTTCAGACCTGTAAAGAGAATACTTCTTCTTGCCTTGATAGAGTTACAAGCTTTTGGTTTAGCCACTGCTAGATGTCCATTTCACACAAACTTGAAACCCTGCAATTGGCATAGGAAGCTGCCTTAAACCACTCAGAATATTTGTCTACCTGGCCCAGTATTAACCTGCAGCAGCTTTCTGGTGGTGGTCTTTCCCATCACCTGCTTACCTGAACCTTTTAATTCAAGGATAGGAAACCTGAGCACTTCAGATGACAGTAGACTCCAACTCCCATCAGCCCCAACCAGCATAACCAATGGAGCTGTAGTTCAGCAAGTTCTGAAAGCCTACAGCAGGTTTGGAGAACTTTAGACCCTCCAGAACTGCAACTCCCATCAGCCCAGCAAGCATGGCCAATTGCCAGGGATTATTGAAGGTGAGGACCAGCAACACCTGGAGGACCAAAGGTTCCTCACACTGGGCTATAGTCCCCTCACCTTGCACTAAGCCAGGCATCCCCAACCTGCAGCCCTCCAGATGTTTTGGCCTACAACTCCCATGATCCCTAGCTAACAGGACCAGTGGTCAGGGATGATGGGAAGTGTAGTCCAAAACATCTGGAGGGCCGAAGGTTGGGGATGCCTGCACTAAGCTATGCCTCCTCCCCATGAAGCCATGTTTAACTCCATAACACACAAACACTAAACTTCTGCTGCTGGTATCTGCAGATCAATCTCTGTTAAAGGGACAGAGGAATGCCAGGCCATTTTTGTCCAAGCCAGTTAGCACTCCAATGGCTCTGTGATTTTATTTTGGATTGTATAGAGCACCTGGGTTTTAAATGCCATCACAGTGGAATGTGGGGGGAGGCAGCATGTAATCTATCAACATCAGTGAAAATGGAAGGTGCAAGCAATATCTTTATCCAATGAACTCATGGGACATGGCTCTCTCTTGGATAAAACTGTACTCTGGCTATATAGAGAACTGCTCATAACTGTCCTCTCTAACCCAGACGGCAGGACATCAGAGTCTCTCTGTATTGCTAAGTGCAGATTTGTTAGGGAACCGTGTTAATACGTTATTAATTTCCAAAGTGTCCAGCACAGTTTAGATCAATATCATTTCAAAACACCTTTTTCAGCTGAGGGCCAAAGTCTCTTCTGGGAAGCCTTTGAGGGACCACATGCCAGGGGTGGGCAGGGCCAGAGTAAAAGGTGGGCAGAGCAACAAATGCAAATTTTACCTCTGTACAGCAAGCTCTTTCTAGCCGTGATCCAGTAAAGCCAGAGGCATTATCAGAGTTCAATGGCATATCCCAGCCAGGCAAAAATACTCAAGAAGAGTTCAGAGCAGGGTCAGTGATGAGCATAGTCGGGGGAGAATCCTAAGGGTGGTTAGAGATGACTGGAGGACCATATTTGACCTGAGGTTCCATCCCCATGCTCTACAAGAGCTGACTCAAATGAAAAAAGAGCAGAACCAAGACAAATCTACTGTTTCTTTAAAAAAGAAAAATGCTTACAGCTTTTAAAGATGAAATACACTACCCTTGTTTCAACGTTGCTTCTAAATTAAAAACTAAATGCAATTTAGCCACTGTTTCCACAGCTGATGCTGCCAAATTGACTAATACTGTAGGAAGACCCGAAAACAAACCATAAGCATAGAATTAATTATCTTTCTTTGAAAAATGTATATCCCATGTTCTTTTCCTTTCTGATGTTTAGTGTTGTTTTTTCTTAACCTATATTTGTTTTTAGCACTGACTAGAGAGCAAGAACTCGAAGGGAAACCCATCTTAAGACTGGATACATTTACCTTAAAGCAAGTTTCATGGAACTCAGTAGAGCGTACTTTGGAGTAGGCATGCATGGAATTGTATTTTAATATTGTATACCTGAGGATTGCTTCATACATTACATTGGAGCACATGACCAATCCATAGCACTGTTCAGATCTATCGTACAGTAAAAAGGGGTGCCTGCAATTAGCCATGCCCTTCTGCTTTACATAGAACTCCTGGGAAGCAATTCTGCATTGGTCAAATGGCAGCTGGAATGCTGACTCATACCCAACTAACTTCTGCTCAGAGGAGACTCACTGAAATTAATGGTCCAAGTTAGCCACATCTATTAATTTCAGCTACCCAATTCCTCTACTGGAAGCCAGTGCAAGGACTCTAGCTAGTGCAACAGCGCTTTTATCCCTCTCTTCCCTCCCCAAAAGCTGCTCTGGAGGGTTGGAAGAAGCCCAGAACATAATGCAGGTAGAGGAGAAGGGATGATGTTCTGTCGGACCAACAGTAATCCTTGTGCTGATGGTATCAGCTCCTTAGCCCTATGGTTGTTAATAATAATAATAATAATAATAATAATAATAATAATAATAAAAATTATTTATACCCCGCCCATCTGGCTGGGCCTCCCCAGCCACTCTGGGCGGCTTCCAACAAAAGATTAAAAATACATTAAAACATCAGTCATTAAAAACTTCCCTAAACAGGGCTGCCTTCAGATGTCTTCTAAACATCAGATAGTTGTTTATTTCTTTGACATCTGATGGGAGGACATTCCACAGGGTTGGTGCCACTACCGAGAAGGCCCCCTGCCTGGTTCCCTGTAACTTCGCTTCTCGCAGTGAGGAACTGCCAGAAGGGCCTTAGCACTGGACCTCCTTCAGGTATACTGGGCCGAGGCCGTTTAGGGCTTTGAAGGTCAGCACCAACACTTTGAATTGTGCTCAGAAATGTACTGGGAGCCAATGTAGGTCTTTCAAGAACGGTGTTATATGGTCTCGGCAGCCACTCCCAGTCACCAGTCTAGCTGCCGCATTCTGGATTAGTTGTAGTTTCCAGGTCACCTTCAAAGGTAGCCTCACATAGAGCACGTTGCAATAGTCCAAGTGGGAGATAGCTAGAGTATGCACCACTCTGGTGAGACAGTCTGTGGGCAGATAGGGTCTCAGCCTGCGTACCAGATGGAGCTGGTAGAGAGCTGCCCTGGACACAGAACTGACCTGCGCCTCCATGGAATTACTCTCACAGTGTCCCATTCTGGGTGCTACATTTTCAGATGGATGTTGACAAGCTGGAGCATGTCTGGAGGAGGGCCTCCAGATGGTGAGGGGCCAATGGAAACCAAGTCCTGAGAGGAATGATTGAAAGAGCTAGGTGTGTTCAGTCTGGAGAAGAGAAAATTGAAAGGATTCAAGATAGTGGTCCGCAAACATCTAAAGGATGATCATGCAGAGATAGAGCCTGTGCTACTGTTGCCAGGGGTGGCATGCATTGCACAGAGGGAGACCAGTGTAGCTGCACCAGCCCAGCCTTTGCCGCTTGCTTCAAGGGCACACACATGTCGCGCTGACAGCCCTGTACGGCTTTGTGTGGCTGGGGTCAGACTATCCAGTCCCAGTGGGGGAGAGGGGTGGCAACGCTGCTTCCTCTTCTGCCCCCCAGGTCAGGTCTGACCTGGGAGTGGAGCTGCGGCCAGCTGACAGCGTTGGGCCATCACATAAGGAAGCTGCTTCTGTAGATCCCTCTTGCTCTGGAGCCAGGCCCCAAAGGCCTGGCCCGGGTGTGGTTCCCTCACTGCAGCTCTGGCCTCAACAAGGGAGCCAGTGTGGTGTAGTGGTTAAGAGCTGTGGACTTGTAATCTGGTGAACCGGGTTCACTTCCCTGCTCCTCCACATGCAGCTGCTGGGTGACCTTGGGCTAGTCACACTTCTCTCTGAAGTCTCTCAGCCTCACTCACCTCACAGAGTGCTTGTTGCGGCGGAGGAAAGGAAAGGAGAATGTTAGCTGCTTTGAGACTCCTTAGGGTAGTGATAAAGTGGGATATCAAATCCAAACTCTTCTTCTTCTATTGTGGGGGAACCTCCTTGTGTTGGGGGTCATGCCCCCACCAAGCCGCCTCCCAATGAAACGCCACTGTGATCAAGAAGAAGATGGAGCCACTGTGTTCTCTGTTGTACTAGGGGATAGGACTAGAACTAATCAATGGAATTTGCAAGGAAATATATTTTGGTTAAACATTTAGAGAAGCTTTTGTAATGACAAGAGCTGTTCAACAGTGAAAGAGACTCCCTTGGATATTTAAGCAGGGATTGTAAGGGATGCTGTAACTGCATCTGTATTGCAGATCCTACACTGAGCAGTGCATTAGACTTTTTAACCTCTGAGGTCCCTTAGAATCATAGAATTGTAGAGTTGGAAAGGATGCTGAGGATTATATAGTCCAACCACCTGCTATGCAGGAACCTCAACTATATCATACAAGACAGATGGCCATCCAACCTCTGCTCATAAACCTCCAAGGAGGAGAGTCCACCACCTCTTGTGAAAGTCTGTTCCATGGTCGAACAGCTCTCACCATCAGAAACATTCCTGATGTTTAGTCAGAATCTCATTTTTTGTAGCTTGAATCCATTGGTTTGGGTGCTAGCTTCTGGAGCAGGAGAAAACAAGCTTCTTCCATCCTCCACGTGACAGCCCTTTAGATATTTGAAGATGGCTATCATCTCTCCTCTCAGGCTGCACTTTACCAAGCTAAAAATACCCAACTAACATACCCCTCAGCTCTATAATTATATATTGACATAGTCCTGAGTTTGCTGTGACATTTATGCTGCCCATCTTCCTTTAAACTCCACTCATAAACAATAAAACAAAAAACAAGCCAAACTGAACCAACGGTCTTTGCGAAACCTACAGAAATCAAGATCTGTTGTAAAACATAATGCAGGAACATCTCCTTGCTAAATAGGGGATGCAATCAGAA